CATTCTCATCTGTTTGTCATTACTGGTGTCCTTTTCTGGTTGCTAACAAACGCCATTTTAACACATCAGAGCACAGTGGGCACATAGGGAGGGGGGGCAGAAGCTCCAACAAGGCGTGTAGGACAGAGTGAATACACATACTATACAGAGATGCTGTATGAGAAACCAATGTGATTTTGGAACATTGAACAATGTACATCTGTTCTAGTAGACCTCAACAATGGAATTATGATCAGTAGAAATGGCCATGACATAGGACCTTTAGTATAGCAGGGATTCCTTCTATGAACACCTTCAAACAAATGCAGTCAAATTTCACACCAATAAAGCTATTTTCGACTTGAATAAACATTTTTGCAAAATTCATGATTGCATCTGCTCTCCTTCCCAGACCTTAACATAACCCGCTCCAGACACACACTGTGTTTTGATAACAGTGACATTCCTGTGTGTGTGTGTGTGCTCGAGTGAACGCCTCCTCTATCATTGTCACCATAGCTCTTTGTCTGTCTTGGAGTTGTTGAAGGAAAGGCTGTCTGACCCACATATGGTACAGGTTTACTCTGAGCCATACTATGTGTTGGCTGCATACTGTGTATGCATGTGTCTGGGATTGTGGTGCTGGTGGTGAGAGATTTGTCCTATAGAGATATCGGGGCAATCACTCACTCACATGTGATGCTCCATCTGCTCCTAGCTTCTAACACACACACACCCACACCCACACCCACACACACACACACACACACACACACACACACACACACACACACACACACACACACACACACACACACACACACACACACACACGACCTTGAACTTTAGACTGGAATTCCACCTATTGTTGAATATTAACATGATTACATGTCAGTGGCAAGGCAAGGCAAGTTTATTTATATAGGACCTTTCAACACAAGGCAATTCAAAGTGCTTTACAAAAATGAAGGACATTAAGCAAATGGTATTTAAAAACGTCAGAGAGCACTGATAGTGTTTTCCTACCTGTGTCGTTGTGGACGCAGCCTCTGCCGTTCTTCACGTCCACATACCAAACGGCCTCCTGACCATTGGGGCCATCTTTTACCTTGAAGGCAAACACCCCCCCGATCTTCTTCACAAACTGCTCCCCTTCCTTTTAAAAGAGAGTGAACAGACAGGCATTTGTAACAAGACAGGGGATCTTTAAATCTGCAGCCTACACAGATTATATGTTTTAAACTGAACAAATATTGTGTATATTTAGAATACTTAACAGCTGAATATGTATCACATAATAAAAGGTAGGGACATGACCCAAAATCTGCATAAAGAACTGAGAATCCGAAAAATCCACTATCCACTCAACATTGACCGATGGGAATACAAAATTGGGACAAAATATTCTCACCACATGTATTTGCACTGCATCTAAAAAATGTGTCTGATCATTAGCCTGAGATATTAAACTCTAAACTAAAATCCATTCAGCTCTCAGGTTGCCTTTTCCTCATTGATGATGACACTTTATTACAGAAATAGCACCGCCATAGGACTCAAGATTAATCTTGTATGATTGAGGTTGCAGAAAGTCAACTGCCTAAAAACAAAGACTCTTGAAAGAAAAGCATTGAGTCAAAAATAACCTTGAATGTGTGTCTGCTAGCTGCCACAATGAGGCTAAACTCCAAAATAGACATAAGGCACAGAGCTGGAAACAATGTATACGACTTGGTGCATGGATATTTGCTTGCAGAAAATGTATATGTGGTGGGCTACAGATTAAAGCAAACCAGTGAGTGTCGGAGAACACATACCAAGGGATACAAATATGAAGCCACAAGTCTGCCACAACTAACAACATTGTCTCCTATTTTACCTCCTGGAGCTTCTTGTTGATTTCCTGGAACACCGCATGTGCCTTGAAGCCCTCCAGTCCGTCACTGGCACTGGTGTAAATGGCTTGAATCCTTGACAGAGACAAAAGGAAAGAAAGTCATAGGGTTAGAAACAAAAGAAAGTGATGAAACGACAGTACAGAAATAAGGTTGAGGAAGACAACAAATGTTCACTGCTATTTTTTAATACAGTCTTGTATTCTTAAAAACTGTGTCTAGACTTTGAATCGCTTTAAAAACACACATTTTTATAATAGTTTGTAAGTGATGTTATCACTCTGTTATTATCACTTACTTTTCTTTAACTCTCTCTGTTTAAGTTCCTAGTTTGTAGTTCATTTCATTCGCTGTGTTTACTCAACCTTTTCAGTTTACATTAACGTTACTTTTGTTGGAAAGGTGCTCTATAAATAAAGTGTGTAATTATGTTTAGTGTTATTATTATATTTGTACCCAATCTGGTATATGTATTGCAGTGTGTGTTCACATTTTTCAATGTCAAATTATGAGATGTTAAATCATGTCATCAACTCTGAGGTGACACACAAGTCCAGTCAATTATCACGTTCACAAAATGGATTACGGAGCATTAATAATGTCGCCTCCATATTTGCACGTCCTCAGCCTGCTTCAAAATAGCCACATCCTGCTAGCCATGGATGTATAAGGAGAACTGCTGCTAACCCAGGATGACACCATGTTAGCACCTGTTAGCTTGCTGAGGAGAAGCCGGACAACAAAGTAGCCGAAACCCGACTGTCACTGTGCTTTCATTCCACAAACTGCTCTCGAGGAGGATATAATATCAGTATATTTCCGAGAATGTACGCACAGTTTTACGTGATTTAAAAAAAGGTTAAATCGTTAGCTTATATGCTAGGTACTTTGTAACCAACGGCTAGCTATGCAGTAATACATCACAGCACTAGAGTTCATTGACTTCATAGCTAATTCCTATGATGTTAACCGAGGACAACAGGGGTGACCTCAATAAGTGAGGGGTCACTTAACGTGTCAAAATGATATCCTACAATATTTAGTACCCTTACCTTCTTGTCTGTATTTCAGGCATTTTGCTATAACGTTAGGGAGACACACAGAACCGCAGGTACAACAGAACGACAGCTAGCTTGCACTTTGCCTGGCTGAGTCCAAACTACACTTCCGTGTTTCTTCCTCCTGTCACTGTTCTTCAGACTCGATAATTCGATGTCAGATAGATCAGTGAGTGTTTTTTTTTTTTTTAAACTCTAAATGTGATGTGATTAAAGCTGGAGTACTTCTGAAGGACACAGCCTTGAACTTTTTGATAAACTACTTGATTTTGTTGAGCAGAAACGTTATTCATAAGTGCAAGTATTTAAAGGTTAAGCCTCATTTCAACAGATGGGAGAATGAAAACAAAATATCCGCAATATCACCTCAATACATGAAGGACAATCATTTCTCAACTTGAAACTGCTTTCAATATTGGATGTATTCATCTTGCTTGAAAGGACCCTCTCCTTTTGTTGAATCAAACATTTATTATTTGAAGTATTGTTTTCATTTTATTTGTACTGTATCAACACCATTTAACTTTCTGGACCACATAATTGTGCCTTTAAGGTTTCTAACTGAATTCTGTAATAAAAACACAGTTTGAAATACATTCCTTTTTATATTATATTACGCACTAGTGGCCTTCTCAGTTAAAGTGTTTTAATTATTTTTTTAAAAACATATTAGCATTGTTTTGCATTTTTAGCCATGCCACTTGAACTTACTTTCATAACTAACATTTCTGCAAACCCTGCTGCTCTCTTTTTGTTGGATCTTTGAATGTTTCTAATCCTCACATGAAGCAATTGGTTTCCATTCTCCTTTGGTATGTAATGGAGATCAAAAAGACAAACTCTTGAAACTCTCTTGAGTTGTGCAATCCAGTGATTCTCAACATGGGGCCTCTCTGCAGGGGGTCAGTGAAGAGTTTTAAGATTTTCATGAACATTACATTTTTTACAAAATGCTTCATAGTTCAACAACTAATATGGACATTTTAAAATCTCAAATAGTTCATAGATTATTGTTCACTTTCAAATCTAACAAAATTGTATATTTTTTAATAACATTACCAGAATCTGTATACATTATTTGGCCTTTGTTTTCACTGGCAGGAGAGGTACTGATGTAATTCCTGTGGTTATTTCAAAGCCATATAAATCAGAGTTCTTATAAATATATAAAAATAACTTCCTTCCTATGCACTGCAGTGTACAATATTTTCCACAGTTTTATAGTATAGCTATATGGATATTTTCTAAAAGGTTTAAGTGAAAACGGGGGAGGGGTCTGTTGTGTTATCTGCCTTTCGGAAAGCGGTGTAACCTGAGGTTGGCATGGCAATCCTTGCTGCCATGGTTCACATTTTGAAAAATGATTGCTGACCCAAGCATGTTCTATCACATAAAACATTGCAATGCATTACATAGATAGTGGTGTAGTGGGCGTTGGACGCCGTACCCCCACTTAT